AGCATGTTCAATAGAGAAACCTAGATCCAAGCATTAGGGTTTGTATGAGCACATAGGATTGTTCTTATGTATAAAACCCATCACCCATAAGACTGCTGATAGTCCTCAGGACTGCTGATAATCCTAGGGTTGCTGATAACTCATAGTTGTTTATTATGTTGTGTTGTATGTTATATTTTAGGGAAGTCACTAAGCTTCGTGCGTACGATTGTGGATTTAAATGTGTTTCAGGTATTTCAAATGATCATGAGAAGGCAAATGCTTGATTGTACATATTCAATAGTAGCTTTTTATGATTCCGCATTATTATGATACTCTGATTTTTGGGATGACTTTATTTGACACTCATGATTTTTCATGACTTGGTTTTATGGAAACAATGTTTTTATCTAATCTAAAAATAAAAAATTTGGTTGTAAAAATGGGATATTACAGAGGTCGTCCATATTGCCTCACCTATTGGGCCGTATCAATGGATTGGTGACTGGACTAAAATATGTAACAACTTAAAAAAAATAATCTAATACTACGAGGATAAAATACAGATAGCAGGATTCCCGTATCGCATAAATAGGGGTGAGCATAATAATTGAAAAACCAAACCATAACTAAATTAACCGATATAACCGAACCATTTTAACCGACCCATTACTAAAAGATATGGTTCGATTTTTAATTTTGATTAACCGAATACATATGGTTCAGTTATGGTTTTCATCAAAAACCAAACCATTATAAACCGAACCGAACCAATAATATTAATAATGTTTTTAGAATAATATAATACTAAATATATGATATATAATTATATTAGGAATTAAAAATTTTAAGGGTAATTACCGGTGGCAAATCTAGAACTGAAAACCACGTAGTTCCCAATTTAAGTGAAACCGGAAAAATAAATGAGTAAAAAAATACTAATGGCAGGCCGGGTCGTATTAATAAAATTTTTTTAAACATAACTTCAATAATTATATTAAATTTCTTACAATTATATCTGATTATTTCTTATATCTTAAAATATATTCATTGTATCATTATTGATAATTTCCAAAACATATTTTTTCAATAACTATTGAACTAACCATGTTAATTTTGTAACTAAGAACTAACATTGATTTCAAAATAGACACTAACCGCCATCACCGATCCACCACCGCTTTGTAGCCCAGCGTATCTGGTGCCCTCCCTCAAAGTCGAGGGTAAGTCCTTTCGTCGACTTAGGTGGAAATTTGTCTGTTCAAAAAGAAAAAAAAATCAAGTATCAACGTCTTTTTTTTTTTTCTTCCAGAATTTGGTACAAATTTCGTTTTCTTTGTTAAATTTTAGCATAATTCAATTCTTTTGTAGTTTAATTTGGTACGAATTTTATGGAATAACTCACTGTTCGATGTTATGAGTGAACAGGATGAATTGAGCTGTTCAATATTTGTTTTTGGCTTCTTTTAGTAATTGCTTCAATTCCTCTAATTATCAGCAACAGTTAGTTCGTGTAAAATCGTTTTTGCTTCTTTGAAATACTATAATTTTCATTTCTGCTTCCCAGTGGTTAGGTTGATCTGCAAGCAACTCACGGAATTGGTGAGAAGAAGTGGAATTGAGGATCATTAACAGGTAGTTTGTGTATAATATAGTCTCAAAGGCTGATTATTGCTGTATGTGAAAGTGAAACTATACCTGATGTAAGGGCAAATATGCTAGATTAGTCATTTATCTGTACCTTCAAGCTTAAGTTCTTATGTGTGAATTTCCATCCCCTCTTTGTATATTTCCTTTCTTCTTTTGGTTTGCCTAATAACAAACACATCATAAAGAGTTTCTTCATTCAATTTAAATAAGTTGTCTTTGATTTGGTAGAACCTGTTTTTACTCATGATGTTATATCTTGTCATCATGCAGTTCAAGGGAGTCTCAAGGGACATGACAGTTGATCTGGCAATTCCTCCTTGTATGTTAAAACAACTACTCTGACACATCAAAGGAAGTCTAACCAACAAAAAACTTGGAGAAATTTGGCAATTTGTGCAGAGTACAAGTAAGATAAAGATACCATGCCCAAATACGACAAGTTGTCACGTGTGCCTTTGCTAATAACATAATAATTAACCACATGGAAAAGGGCATTAACCACAATTAGTAGACTAATTATTTTGATGTTGCCCTATACTTAAATACCATAAGGCTAACAGTTTATATTTTCATTTGGCTGTAAATGTTTTAATTTATTGTTTGAAAAGTAAGTTACTAACTTATGCTTTCTTGATGGGACCACAAATATAGATCCTCATTATAGTTGGATGCATGTAAATTTGGATATGAATTTAACATCTAATAATCTGTTTAACAAATAGACAACATATATTTGTTATACCTAAGTAAACTTCCGATTTTTTAATGTTCTTTATGATTTTTTATGTGCTCTTGCTAAAACTTTTAATAACTAAACCTTTCAATTAAAACGATCTACTTTGAATCACACCCGCAGTCATTTTTTTATAGATTTTTTTCATTCTACAACACTACGTATAACCTTATGATTTTAAATGTTTAGGTCACCTTCTGTACAGATTTTTCCCCATACATGGAGTTCCGAATGTAAGTACATTGTTTGATTTTTTATTTTATTTTTTTCATTTTGTCTGTTTCACTAAAACCTGAAACAAAGCCTGAACTTTGTTCATGGTTACTTGTTCTCATCGAAAATAGATGGTTGGTCTGTATACTAGGTTAACTTCTAGAAATAAAAATTTGCATTTATTTATATACTAGCTTAAATAAGAAAAATCGAAAAGTACAATAATTGGATTAGATTTTCAAAGTACAATGCCTTAATAAGAAAATTTCAAAGTGCAACACTATAACCAGTGGCGGTATAAGTGTTAACAGGCCTCAGGGCATTTCTGTCATTTTCTGTCCCTTGTCTGTTGCATCAGCATAAATAGGGGTGAGTTTAGCTTTTGATTGCTTGGGAAACTCATTTCCTCTCAAATGGCAGTTAGTTTGTAATCATTCAGCTATTATTAAGTAGCCTGTGCCCTAATTCTTGTGTTCTAAATCTAGAGTACACCACTACAATGCCTTAGTAAGAAAACATTGAAAGTACAATCAACAATGCTATATTCGGTAGATTTTTTCAAAACAATGCCTTGCTAAGAAAAAATGGAAAGTACAATGCTATAAATGGGTAAATCTTCTGGAGTACAATGCCTTGATAAGAAAACATCAAAAGCATAATGCTATAATTGGTTAGAACATTCAAAGTAAAACGCCTTAATTGGCAAAAAGATAAAAGTACAATGCTATAACTAGGTGGAATTTTCAAAGTAGGTCTTAATAAGAAAAAGAATCAAAGTATAATGCCATAATTGTGTAGATTTTTGAAAATGCAATGCCTTAACAAGATAACACTAGAAGTACAGTGCTATAATTGGATAGTTTTTTCAATGTAAAAATGCCTTAATAAGAAAAAAGTTCACAGTACAATGCTATAGTGGGTTAATCTCATTTCTTTCTACGAGCTTGTATAAAACTATCAATCAAATGACCAAAATAACCTCCAACATTTTTTTTTGTGATGAAGAACGGTTCCAAAATGGGATGCTTCTCAATTTAAGCATCCTAAAAATTGAATTTTTGCAATTTTTATAAAAGAGAGAGAGACTACAAGTCATTAGTTAATGTGGACAAGACACAACCTCAAATGACCAAATTACCCTCCAACTCTCTAGTCTCTTTGAGATTTATGAATCTAAATCACACTAAATGTTCTGTCTTTTGTAGATCTTTGAGATGATAAACAGTTTTTGAGTGACCATCCTGGTGCAGTTCCAATAACTACAGCTCAGGTACATTAAATGTAAAGAAAAAAAATAAATGAGGGCAAATTTGTAAAAGTTTTGAACTTAATGTGGAAAGTCTCGTTTCTACAACTTCCAGTATTAAGTCGTTCTTTCTATATTAAGTCAAAAAGAAACACTCATATATAGCTTACCAAATTAAAACCGTCTCTATTAAGTCATTAAGTGGAAAAGAAAGAAGTAACATCCAAGTGGGCCCCTTACATGCATTATAGTTTCACATATTAATAAGGAAATTAGTTTTTGAGGTATTACACATGAGGAATAATACTTGAGAAAACAAATCTCATTACACTTAAATCTTGTTTGCTTTATATTTGGAGGTGCAGCCTTTATGAAAAGGGCAAAATAAAGAAAAGCGCTTGTATTTTTATTTTAGCCACTTACCTATTTTGTATAGTGATTCAACCATTATACTGTTTTTTGACCATTTAAAATACCATTTTTCTATGTTACAGGATTTTGGAAAAAATGAAAATACATAATAGCTCAAATTACTTTCACCAATTTAGGACTTACTCACTGAAATATTATGTTCTTTATGATTATTATAATAATGGGTCAGTGGATCAAGTGGCGTTACGTTGACTTCATAACCAATTATGGAATTTCTTTTGAAAGTTTTAACTTCTCATAAATGATAAAACTATCCATCTTAATGCAACCTTGAATACTTTATATGTGTATGCTCATTTCATATGTATATCTGTACCACGAAATTGCAATGTTTGACTATTAGTCAAATGTCCAAAATATCCGGTAGGGGCAATTTGGTAATTTACCTTGGAGTTTGGAACATAAAAGTTGTTATAATATTTGTGAGGCATACCAAAATTAAAGTTGCAATTTTTTCATGGGACATCTAATAATGTGGATGCAAGGGCATTTACGTCTTTTTGCATGATATATGGTTATTGTAGAACGTGCTCCATTCTGATGCAGCCATTAAAGTGGTTCTTCAGGCACCAAAGCAAAAGAAGAAAAGAAGCGAATGGGTCAGAAAGCGTGCTCCATTCTGTAACTTTGTGCACAAGATTTTTAGTATGAATCGAATAGAAAAATGGGAAGAAAGTTGACTTTTTAATGGTGAATGATGAAGTGTTGATCACCCTGGCCTTTATATATAGTTTTTAATGAATTTGCCCACTTTTATTGTATTTTTGTGTTGTGTAAGTTGATATATGTAATTCTTTAACACCAAATAGTTGAGACTTTGGGGACTATCTGGATAATGTGTAATATGGTTTTATGTTGATTGTGGAAAGATCTTTGATTTTAAGAGGGTTGAAAATGAAATTTCTTTTGAATTGTTAGTATATGCTTAGGGTGTATTTGGTTTTGCGGATTCTGATGGAATCCAAAGGAACTGGATTTGGAGATTCCGTCCCATTGAATAATGTGGAAAAGCCAATGGAGATAAACTCCCATGTTTTCCATGTAGATGAATTCTTTCCATAGCAATAATGTGGACATGTCAAAGAGGAGTTGCTTTCTCAAAAATATGATTACTTTATAGAAAACATGCAAGATACAAATGTATTGTATTTTCAAGAAGAAAACGTTTAGATGTATAGACTTTGTAAATAATGAAAAAATATTATGATTTGCAAGATTAAAAAAATTCTTATGCAAGACAAATTCAACAGCTAAACATGGATTCATCAAAAAGGGTTTTGTGAACAAACTAGTAACCTTGTAGTCAATAGGGATAAAATAGTAAAATACAACTATGTTTCATTTCCTCAATTTTTCCGGATTAGCTTACCATGTAAAATATTGACATTTTCTACAAATAAGGATGATAAGTAAACAACACCATCGAAATGGTCTAGTGGTGTGGTGACCAATTGAAATTTGGACGATCTAAAAAGGAGTGATAGTCAGATTTAAACCCCACAAACTTCAACCATGATGAGGTAGTCTGTCGTTTAAAAAAAATGTTGATGATTGAACAGAAGATATTAAGAGTATTGGATTGATGTTACTCTTACTAGCTAACGCCACTTTATTCTAAAAGATTGCAAAATTAGAATGAAGAAACCCAAATAGCAACTCATTGTTCTTATTTCTCCACCTAAGGGCTTTCAGGTATTTCAGATCAAGAAAGAATGATATATTATATTTAGGCTGTAAATTTAAATTTTGGGCCCTTCAATATTGTGGGCCTTATGCACAACCTGCACCTCCATCTCTTATGACTGCCTGTAGTCCTGTACTTTCTAATTTAGATCATAAGAAATGCATATTATTGGTCGGGGTGAAATAAAACAACAAAAACTGAATAACTTGACCAAACCAAATAAGGTTTGGGTTAGTTTTTCAGGTAATTCAATTTGGTTTTTATTAAATTTTTAGTATTTCACTTACATTGAATAAGAAATAAGATTAATATTCATATATTATATTTATAGCTGTGAAACTTACTTTCAATTTTCTTTAAAATTATAACATATCATAAGATGTAGAAATGAGTATGCAATGTACTTTGCAATTTGTCTAATGCTAAAACATTCTGTGAGTTGTAAAAATGGATGTCAATTTTACTTTATAAATTTTTTGAAGGTGTTCTTAACACTAAACCTATGTTACAACTGATTTGTATTTCGGTTTATTCAATACCCCTTTTTATCCATGGTAAAAAAAAATATAGAATTAAAATTTTAAATGGTTTAACGAGTTATTCGAACCAAATAACCCAAAACCAATGAAACCATATCTTATTTTGTTCGGTTACAACTAATTTAGAAAACCTATTAGATTGAAATTAATATCGATCCAATCAACACCCCTGTTGGGTTAAAAAGAGGGTATTTACCATTGCACAAATATGACTTTTGGTACAAAGTTGTCTCCGTTTAAGTTTTGAATCATGAAATTTAGTAACTTAAATAGTGTTGATTTTCCCTAATGCAAATAAAGTTTCATTCGATGTTCCCCAATGTGACATCTTGTTTAGATTTCTGCATATCAAGCTACACTTGCATTCATTTATGTAGAAAAAAAAACACTATTTTACTTTATATCAAGCTACACTTGCATTCATTTATGCAGTCGGTAATAAAAAAAACTCACAGCTAACTGAAACAGGTCTTCCCGAGGGATGCTTAATTATGGTAAATCTTTTCCATACAAAAAATTATTGCTGGATTGCCTTATTCTTTCACTCCTAACTCATCTAAGAAGACTTGACCAAAACAAAAATTCAACCAAGTAATGGAAAAAAGCAAATTGAAGAGTACCAAATTGGGTAAAGAATACCAACAGACATTGTACTAGGTAGCAAAGACACGAACTAATTATGTACAAAACATTCATGATATCAGTTGCTGACTCCACAAGTAAAATGCATTAATCGTCATTCCTGGGTACACAAGAGGGTATTTTCCATCCATCAACTTTGATCTTCAGTTCATTGTTTCCCGCATCATCTTGCTCCTGTCGTATTTTTTGAAGGGATTCGAGAAGAGAAGCACAACAATTATCAACGTCAATAGACTCAAGCGTTGAGATGTCCCCTAATTCAAGGGGTATCTCTCCAAGATCGACACAATTCCACACCTCTAATTCTTGGAGACATGGAAAGTTGATACTTGAGGCTTCCCATTGTTTGATATTTAACTTTTCAAGTACCAAGAATTTTAGTCGCTGAAACTGCTCCTCACCTGTTTCCCACAGGGTTCCCTCAAATCCATTGTCTTTTATTACAAGAAACTCAAGATTTGGTAACGATTGAATGATCGACATGTTGCTCCACAGTAGACCACACCTTACAATTTCAAGATATTTGAGTGTTGCAGGGAACCTAATAATGTGATTCTTTCCCAAGTTTGGTTCACCTCTGACCAATTCTTCATCAACTGATCTCCTTCTTCTGTAGCCCGGCCCGATTAGCGTCAAGATTTGAAGGTGATGGAGTACTTCAAAGTCATTTTCCTCGTCAGAGTAAAGAGTAGATGTAAGTTGTTTGATCCCGGGAAAACATTTCTGAAAATTATCTACCCCATCTCCCAACATCACTTTCGAAATATCTTCCACTAGTTTCATCGGTTTTCCTACAGAAGGAAGATAAAGATCTGCGTTACACCATAAATGCCTCAGATTCACCAAATCTGATATGTTACTAGGTAAAACCATAGAACTAGAACTCGTTGTAACAATGAGGGTTTGAAGGTTCCATAAATTGCATATTGATGGTGGGAATGATGACAGCCAAATGTCAAGGTATCGTAAGTGAACTAGTAATGCTAAACCAGGGGAAAAATCAATCGATTTATATTTTACTAGATCTAACACCCTAAGAAGTGCAAAGGAACAGAAAAACTTTTCTGGATTTAACTCCATACGACATGCAAAGGAACAGAAAAACTTTGAGATATTGTGAATTATGGTTGTTTTCCTTTCAAGGCATAAAAATGATCGAATACTTGGGGTGGGCGGAGGAGACAATCTCTTAATGTTGATTTCTTGATATGTGAACACACGGCGTGGCTTATGTGTGGTAATTACCTTTTTCCAATTTCTCAATTTCTTGTTTTGTTTTCCTATTATATCATAAAGACGGTTAGATGGTGGGGAGTCTATTTTCAGGAAGAATCTTTCTTCTTTTCCTTTTTCCACACATACCTGCCTCACAAGATCATGGACTTTATAATAACGGACATCACCCATAGTATACCTTCCTTCTACAATTAGAAGATTTCTGTCAACTAGATCCATCAGGTAACCCTCTGCAACTTCATCCAAGCTTCGCCTTCCATCTTCTTGTATAAATCCCTCAGCCATCCATAACCAAAGCAACCATGGTATATCGATTTGTAGGTCGTCTGGAAACCCTCCCAGATAGAGAAAGCAATCTCTCAAGTGAAGAGGCAGATGGTCGTAACTTAATGCTATTGTTTCCAGACATCCTTTCTCGTCACCAGCAATGTACGAGTGGACACTGCAAGAAATTTTTACCCACAAATTTTTACTCCTTGGTTCTTTTGCTAAAACTCCTGCCATCACAACCACAGAAAGAGGCAATCCGTGACAGTTTCTTGCAATTTGCATTCCAGGATCAATCAACCATTTGGGACACTCGTCTCCTTTGAACACCTTCTCACAAAGCAACTTCCAACTTTCTTCTTCTGTCAAATGCTTTAAATGATGAATGAGTCCATCTGATTTTGCGTTCGCAGCAACTTCAGTGAGGCGACTCGTAAGGAGAATTCGACTTCCGGTGTTATCATCAGGGAAAAATAACTTCAACTTATCCCATGCCTCTGTACTCCAAATATCATCAATGACAATCAAATATCTCTGACGATTTAGGCGTTTGTGCAACTTTTCATGAAGCTGAGAGTCTGTTGCTGTTGAGTAGGTGAAGCCACTCAAATATTAGTGGCAGAAATCATGATACCACTCAAATATTAGTGGT